ATGTTAAAGGGATTGAAACAGACACTGGTTAAAATTACAGTTTCCCTCTCTTAAAAAGTGACAAACAGCTAAGATATCCAGTAAATGAGATTTTCAGTTAGTAAAATCATTAACCCTTGACCTTTTAGTTTAGTTAAGAAATTAACATTATGGCTAATATAATTATCACAAATTAGTATCAAATGGGAATACTGCTTGAGAGGTTAACAGAAGGGTAATGGATTTCCATCATGCAATTGTTAATCTGGAAATTTCTAAGGGAGGTAAGAGAATCTGCAGCCATCATACAGACTTAAAACATTACATAACGGTCAAAAAAGACAGCAAAGGAATGAAGGATATATCCATGAAGGGAATTGTTTCTATGTGACCCCAACAACATATAACTTATATGCGATCCCACTACTTAACCATTCGATCTGAATCGAATGGCTACCATTGTTCATATCACAATGTCACGTCAAACACTGTTTTATTTTTCATTTTTTGACTACAAAATATTTTTTGATGAAATTTTGGGCATCCCATCAGAAAATTAGGGTGAACCTGAAAAAATTAAAAACAAATATTTTATGTAAAAATAAATGACCAAAATGCCCCTTCAATTTTCGGGGGGTATTCTGATAATTTTTATCACAGGAAATAGTTTTTAAAAATATTTTTATCATGTATGCCCTTGTTAAACCTATGCATGCCCCAAATTTTGTTTCAAAATTATTTGTAGAATTAAAATAAAAAAATAAAGCACTATGAGCCATCTGATCAAGATTTGACGGTTAAGTGCTAGATTGTGACATTGTGACTCAAGCCATCTCAGCCATCTCTTCAGATCTGGTGGATGAGACCAGGGGTCACATATTACATGTATGTGGGTGGGGTCACATAGAAAGCCCTCCCATCTATGAAATGTTTTAAACAGATAAAGCCAATTTGTGGCAAAATCAAATTCTGAAGCAAAAGTTCCTTGCTAGACCAAGCCCACAACAATGGATGTCAGTGTCATTCATGAGTATTTTGAATCAATGCACTCTGTCTCAGCCACCAGTAAACCAAGCATAGAGCAAAACAATTGATGTTTGATAGAGACAATTAGATTATGGATGCCCTAACCCACCCAAATAAGTATATTCTAAATAGAGATAAATTATAAAATGATAGTTGCAGGCAAGCCTAACTAGTAGAGAAGAAAGGCACCTCTAACAAGGTAATGTAATAAAAATCCTCCATATGTTGCATAAGAGCAGTCCCATCCCTGATTGAACGGAAGAGGTTTATCTCTGTCTGCAAAATCTTCTCAATCAGCTGTTTCTCACCTTTCATCTGCAAAAAAGAAAATATGATCAAGTAATTAACTGATCATTCGTCCATATTAAGTGAAGAGAAATCTCTAATCCAAACTATGAGGACTATGAGGACTGAAATTTTTACAACAACCAAATAATTTATTAAATAGCTACCTTTCACATGTTACATGTGAAAATGTTTTAAAGAAAGGGAGACGTGCACACAAAAGGAGAGCAGGTCCTGCCATGTATCCTTCCTAGAAGGCCATGCTCTTAATTCTCTCCTGTTTGAAACTATTGATATGTAGCTCCTATCGAGTATCAACCATATCTTCTTTTACACATGAAAAAAGAAAGAATGAATCTAAAGTGAGATGTTTCATGGAAGATTCTCTCTCTCTTCAAAACCTTTTCAAACCTATGCTTCAAAGAATGAATCAAAAGTGAGATGTTTCATGAAAGATGCCATCTCTCTTCAAAACCTATTCAAACCTTTGCTTGTCCACATAACATACTGATTCAGCTAATGAAATTTCCCCATACCAACATGGTAGCAAGGAGGTGGCCTGTTTGGCCAAGTTAGGGCTTTTCATTTAGAGGGTGAGACTTTCGGATGACATGGCTGACCATATTTAAATGTACAATTATTGAGAATTTAGAGGATCTTTTAGCATGTGGTTTTTAACTAGCATTTGATCAATCAAATCTGTGCTGCTCTGTACACCCTGATTAGGTCATTTTATGGTGTACAAATTGTTTTTCCTAGTGTTTTCATATCGTTTAGGTTCACCGCACCACACCCATATGCATAACATTATGTTATTCTATTAAGCCTTTCAATACTAAAAGGGTTTTAATGCACATATTTCTGTATTTCAATTTCTTGTTTCTTGTATAGATCCCTATACGGCAATAAATGCCTCTATGGATGTTAATCATTCCATGTTGGTGCATCTATGATGTAGGGAAATTTGAGGGAACAATAAAATTAGCAAGAAACAAGCCAAACACAAGCAATTTTGGAGAAACCCTAAGGCTTTCTCCCACCTATGCTCAAGCCTTAGGCATCTTTTACAAGACAAAATCTTTCTTTTCTTAAAAAAGAATACATGAATTACTCTTCAGCCCATCCATGAAAAGTATGGCTATATGGAACTCACGGTATTAAATTAAAAAAATTACTTTTACTTTTATTCCAAATACTTGAATTCCACTTACATGTGCCACAATATATTGCTGAAAAATTAAAACAATGCGCTAGATAACACCTAGGATCTTTATTTTACTGTCAAAAGAAATAAAAACTATCCAGGAACTTTAAACTAACTCTTATAACAATTTTCAACACAATATAAGTTCCTAGAAAATTACAGGAAAAAAAGAAAAAAAACTCAAAATAAATAAAAACTAATGGAAATACTATTTGGAAGATGCCAGAAGTTACCCAACCAGGACTTGGTACACCCCACACTGGATTCCCTGACCAATGGCACGCCTTTTCTCCTTAAAGTGTTGCTGGAAATTATAAGATAGAGAAGCTTTGTAGGCAATCCTTCTTCCACTAGGTTTTCCTCTAGGGTTTTAGAAAGCTCAAAATAAACTAGAGTTTATACAAACCATATGGGAACAAAATACGGTTGATCTTGGGAGTTGATATCTCTCAGTGGGATTCTCTCTTCTTCCTTAAAAAATACAGCAAACTCTTTCCTAGGGTTTCACCTAAAATAGGTCACCTCTATTTTTCTTTCAATGCAAAAAATATAGAGGAGAGATAAAGAGGTGGCGTCCTCTCTTTTGGTTAAAAGACAGAGATGTGAGGGATGTGGGAGAGAAAAGAGACCCCCAATATTGTGAGAGAGAGACTGCTGAGAGAGAGACCCCCCCTCAATATTAGTGCATGAGGGAGAGCGAGAGAGAGGCCCCCCAAATTGATGCGTTAGGGTGACAGAGATCTCCCAATATTGTTGCGTGACGGAGAGAGAGAGATCCCCCAATATTGCTGCGTGAGGGAGAGAGAGAGATAGAGAGGACCTTTTCGGAGAGAGGAAAAAAGATTTTATGATGGATCTCAAATAAGTTCAAACTAGATCTTTAAATAAAAGGAAATCTAAAAGAAATCTATCTCCTAGTTTGAATAGGATTTATCTTATCTAATCTTCAACTACACCTTTTTAGGATAAATAGGAAATCTGTGGGGTAAGAGATTAATCAGAGCTATCCATCCTAAAAATCAGCCATCATAATTTTGGGTAGAAAGATTAGGAATATTATCCCCTTACTGTTTGACTTTATCCTATTTTAAATTTGAAATCAAACTTAAATATTTTTTATATATTGGGAATCTCATTAGATTTCCCATCTTTAGATTTATCAAATTTAAATTTGAAACAAAAGTTTAAAATAAGAGGACAAGAAACAAAAGTTTAAAATAAGAGGTCATGCCCTTCTTCCCAAGGCAGCGGCGTGGGGGATTTTGACAAAAAAAGTGGTGTGCCCCCCTTTCTCCCTCCAAAAAAAAATTGTAATAGAATGGGTGCCCCCTTTTATTTTCCTTAAAAAGTGGAGTAACTACCTTTTAAACAATATAAAATATTAAAAGAGGGCGTGCCTCCCTTGTTTCATAAATAATGGCGTGCCACTATTATGCTTTACAAAAATAGGGCGTAGTTCTACATGTGGGGCTGGATCCTTGGTCTCACATGTGTTATTTAGAGTTCTGAATTTTTCAGAAATTCCCTTCTATGAAAATTCACATCAGAAAATATTTTAAAATTCTGAAAAAATATTTAGAAATCAAAGAAACATTTACAATACCATAATAAAATATACTAGGAGTGGATTGGTACCAATGGGTCAAAATACACGACACTAAGGGCATTCCACTTGCCTCAGAAACCATGATCCACAATTGTTCTCTTATGCAACCCAACAAAGTCCCATGACCCACAATCTCTTTGCAGGAGCTCATGATTGGCTTGTCAAAGTTGGATAATAAAACAATGAGACTATGATCCTTGCATGTCGATTACAGCTCCCCCCTTTAAGAGCAAGTCCAGCACTTGTCACCACAATGCAAAAGAGGACCCTGTCAATGCACATGTACACGTGTCCCTCTAAAAAAGGGTTGCTTCCCATGCGACTGTCATGTGTACATGCCATGCGGAAGTTTGTAGAGGATTTGGCCCTTGCTCTCATAGGCCTACAACCACACAGGAGACCACACAGTTCTCCTGACCTACAAACATGATCTCTGGGTATCTCTTCGGCCTCAACAAGAGATGACCCACTTCACACCCTTCTTGGTTGTGCCACATGGCCAGGGCCAATTTTGGCCATAACCAGGGTCATAAACAGCCTAACCATTGGTCAGTCAATATACACACTCCCACTGAAGTGCATATTCCACTATGCATCATATTTACAAGCTCTCTAGGCCTTTAAAGGCCACAAAAAAACTCAACAATCCATCACTTATTTAAATTGAAAAATTATTGTTTTGAACAATATTTGTCCATACAATTAACTTTAGATCCATATATCTTAACTTAAATTAAAAATTCATAATGATAGTTTTACCCCTATGAACAATACCCATGAACAGTACTTGTGAATAACACTTGTGAATGGTTCCCATGAAATAAACAAAAAACTATAAAAACCCTAGAATCCCTAAAAAACTAAAAATCCTAGAATCCCTAAAAAACTAAAAACCCTAGAAATAAGTACTAAAAGAAAACTATAATATACATCCTTTAAAGTTGAATAAAAATAAAAACAATTTTTCCCTCCATCAATCTAGATCGCAAGAACTATGCCCTAAGGTGCTGCATCACAAAAATATTCTAAAGGGGAAGAATCTATAAGGGTATACAGGTATGAGACGGGCTTTTGGGTGACAAGTAATATCAGAATTTGTGAATTGGAACCCACATACCGTTGGGTTTCTTATTCTTAATGCCACCTCAAAAACTGTTGAGAGGCTATTTTTCTAATAATTTGGACTTAAAAGTAGAGAAAATAGCAGCAAGGAAGGTGCAGTGAGCTGTCAAGTGCTGATAAGAAACTTATTTCCATAGTATATTTTAACCGAGTAGCTGCAAGAAATTGTGAGGATCATCAGGAAAGGAGTATGTGGATTCAAAATCAGAAGATGTAGACTCATCTTGATTTGTCGCAGGCAGATCTAGAAGGGATACAATGTCCGGCGTCTTCTTGAAATGTGTCTGAGGTGGATAGTAAATTGAGGATACAACCTGCTCTTCTTTATTCTTTTCACAACCTCGCTCAATAGTTCAAGTCTCCAAAATGATCATCTAAAGATGTCTAATCTACAATATAGAAATGAAGTCAGGTTGATTGTATGGCAATGAAATGCTTTTCTCAATTATCTTGATTGTCATTACGTAATCTTGTTATCACATCTTTCTTTATTTGCAAGATTAGCCATGTAAAAATAGCGTTGATGTATTAGTCAAAAGATTATGAGACACATACCCTTATGATTGAAAGGGCATCCACAAGCTAACAAAATACATGCATCCTAGAACTCCCAAGTAATACATATTTTGGTGCTGTTCCATTTATTACTTATATGGCAATTTTCCAAAACGAAGATACAAGAGAATTCTATTAACCAGATATGTGACTATTAGGACAACCTCAGACCATAATTTCTAGGAAGAGAATAATTATTAGAGACCATGAACTTACCCAAAAAAAACAACCTGAGCCCTATTCACTCCTAATAGATGTTGGTTTTTCTTTTTGCCAGACTATTTCTTGTAGAGTATAAGGTGACAAATTTTCATGCATAATACTAGAAACTCTTCATATATAATCTAAACCCGTTTGAAACATTCCCCTCCATTGCTTTTCCTCAAAATTTATATGAGCCTTCCGTTTTGAGTTAGAATCATAACATGGATCATTAATGACATTTCTATTTCTCATTAAGTACATCCAAGATACTTTGTAGTAATCATAAATGAGCAAGATCGGATGGTGTAAATACATTAAATGACCACTGAACAGATGTCCAGACATCTAAGGGAACAACTGTAACTCCTTAATAAGGATCTCTATGACGAGTAAAGGGAAGCTTGCAGTGACTCTTTTGCTTTATCAAATTTGTGATAGAAAGGTTAGACTCATTCAATGATATCAAGGGCTTATGCAATATGTTAGAAAATAAATTTCATCTAGACAGTAGAAAGTTGTCTTTTTCTGGCACCATGGAATGAAGTTTCCATTTTTATGTCTCACAAATAACAACCAGTGCAGAAGAAAAACAGAATATAATTTAAGGTCATGTTTACTTGATTAATAGACAAACTATGCAGTCTTCAGACATAAAAACATTCAACATATTATGGGAAATGTTAATTACAATATTATCTTTACAAAACAGATAGGAAAGCGCTCAAGATTTCATTATTGAGCAATCCAGGTATCAAGCGGGAGGGATTCTCAAAGATAGTACAAGGGAGGGTTTTGATGACCTTTTTTGTATAGTTGGGGATTGGTGACTCCACCAGGCCGAGTTATCAGTGCCGCTGACCTGATTGAGGTTGCATAAGGACTCCTTCTTTATGCTTTTTATTGCCGAAGGTGACTCTCAAAATTTCATTCATTGGGCATCGCCCAGGCGTAGGTGGTCCGGAAGGCCTGGGCTCATCGCCCAGGCCTAGGCGGCCAAACTGGGCGGCAGTCCCGGGGTGGCCGCCCAGGCGGTACGGAACCCGCCTAGGCAGGCGCTCAGTGCGCAGCCCTGGGCGGTCGCCCAGGGCTTACACCCCGCCTAGGGGTGGAATTTATTTATTTATTTTCGTTGTATTTATTTTTTTTGAAACATAAAGGGTTTTAAGGATGGGTTTTAGATTCATTTGAAAACTAAAACCACAAAAACTCATTTTAGAGAGAAAGAAACCTCAAGAAAACTAAATTTTGTGACTTTTATTGAATCAAAGTGTTTCTCAAAGTTATGGAAAACGGATCCAAACATCACCCAGGTAGATTTGATTTAGTTTTGGAGTTTTATAATCCTATTAGAGGGTGTTTTTTATTATTTTAGCACCAGAAAACATCTCAGAGGTGGAAATTTGGAGTTCAAGCAATCAAAGTAAGTGCAAAACTTTATTTTTTAGATTGCTTGTTTTATTTTGAGATGCCTTCTTCAAGATCTAGTTGAAGTGAAGATCCGCGTTGGAAATATGGATATAACCCGAATCCAAATGACAAAAATTGTATTTGTGAAAAAGATACAAAAAATATGGATATAACCCGAATCCGGGTTGCTTCAGGACTAAAACAACCTCGAAGCAACCCGGATTCGGGTTATAAAGTGATCCGGGTTGCTTCAGTCATCATCATCATTTTTGTTGGAAGGCTTCAGTTCTGTAAAACAAAAACAAGAATAAAATCCTTGTCATTCGAATAGATCTATTTCTGCTACTTATAACCCAAAACCAAACGATAAAAATTGTACAAGGTATAATTTTTGTGAAAAAGATACTAATGGGGGTATTAACCGATTCAAGAAACACCTTGCTGGTATTAAACGGAACGTTGCTTCTCGTAAAAAGTTTCCTGAAGCTATTCGGGATGAGATTAGACAACTTTTGAATTTAAAATAACCAGAAAATGATGAAAATGAACCTTATTCTATGAAAATATCTTCTTCAGGTTCTTTTAGAAGTGGTGATCCGGGTTGGAAGTAAGGCTATCACCCAAATTCGAATGAAAGAAATTGTATTAAATGTAATTATTGCGGGGCATTTACCGGTTTAAAAACACCTTGTAGGTATTAAGGGTGATGTTGCCCCGTGTAAAAATGTTCCTACGACTATCAGGGAGAAAATTATACAACATTTGAGTTCAGGGAAACACAAAAAGATAGAAAAGGGTAGAGCAGCCAAGACTTCTAAGGCCTCATCTGCACATACTAGTAAGAGGGAAGTAGAAGAAGAGGAGGAAGAGGCAAATTCAGAAGAAACAAAAGAGGAAGAGCGTTATATTGAAGAGGGAGATGACTTTGATGATGATGGCCTCAAATCAGATACATATGATGAAACGTACCCTATTCCTTCTAATGATGATGATGATGATGACTGAAGCCTCTTGGTGTTGAGTATTGACTGTTGTGTTGGGTGCTGACTGTTATGTCCCAGACTGTATATTTTCTGAAATTCTGTATATTTTTTTTTTCTTATTTTTAGTTTCTACTTTCTAGTTTTTAGTTCTACTATCTAACTTTTGTGTGTACAGTCTACAATGTATCAGACTATCAGTGTATGCTTGTATGGTTTTACTGTTTTAGCAATGTATAAAAATATGGATTATGGTCTTATGAATTATCAAAATTCTCTTCTCGACTTCTATCTTCTTTTTTTAACTGAGATTATGGTCTTATGGATTATCAAAATTCTTATGTATTATGGTCTTATGGATTATCAAAATTCGTATAGATTAAAGATTATCAGCTATCGGTTTTTTTTTTTCAATTGGGATGCCTAGGTTCTGGGTGCCAGCCTATGCGGCCGCCTAGGCGTTGGGCGGCCTAGACCCCTATGGCCGCCTGGGTCTTTTTGAAACACTGGTGTCCATACAATGAACAAGATAGGGAACGAGATCCTTAGGTTTACGGGAGTGAGATTCCATGTCAATGGGTTTGAGGTTTTAACTAGCAGGAATCTAAGCTCCACTATACATAAGATGAGGTTGTCAAGTAGAGCTAGTACAGGTTTCCTTGGTTAAGGAATCGAGGATTAAGTTTGTCATATAACAGGGTTCCTCTTGTTCTAATATCTAGTTTCTTCAAGTATAGGAATCAAGGTCCTCATGATGATGACCTCCTTGAGGATGGGATTTTCATCGTGATGAAGACGACCTGGAGGATGATGTTGGGGTATTAGAAGCATTAGGCGACCACCTTGATGCTGATGATGAGGTTCGTCAGAGTGCTCCATTACCAAGGCTTGTACCTCCCACTACATCTTCAAGCCATGACACAAGTTTGACATGCACCATTCCCTCTGATTCCCTGACAACCCAGAATCTTACCACTCAAGGGTGGTTATCTTCTTCGAATGTAGTCTCTCTCTCTCTCTC